TCAGCTTTTCCTCATTACTCACTGGGTGGCCTCACCTCCCCCTCCCCCCACTTCCCCCTCTCTGCAGGTATTGACTGAGAAGCAGCATGAGGACGCGGCCAGGAATGAATACAACTTCGACCACCCGGACGCCTTCGACTTCGAGCTGGTGGTCAAGACGCTCTCGAGGCTCAAGGAGGGCAAGAAGGTGGAGGTCCCCATATACAACTTCGTCACCCATCGCCGGGAGACCAAGACGGTAAGGGGGCCGGTGGAGCTTAGGGGGACCGTGGTGTACAGGAAGGTTTAGATAGATTGTTCATACTATCATGAATTGATACTAATTATATAATAACATTTATGATGATAATAATAGTATTAATGATGTCATTGATGGAAATAGTAAAAATTGTTATTGTTATTGATCATGATAATGATGATAATGATAATGATAGTTGTAATATTGTTAGATAGCTGATAGTGATAATAGAAAAGAGATAAATGATAATAGTAATAAATATTATTGCATAAATGTGAGCAATAAGAGTTGAAAATTAATATAATTTCTTTTTGTTTTCAGAAAACCATGTATGGTGCCAATGTCATCATATTTGAAGGAATTTTAGCATTCTATTCTCATGATGTGATAAAGGTATGTTTTGGTTGATAGTTCACTTCCACAATGCCAAAAGTTCACTTCCTAAGTGCCATAACTGTTACAAAAAAAAAAATGTTTACAAGCAGTTTTACCTCTCTCACCTCAGGCTTTCATGACTGTGTTTTGTGGTCTTGTGTTTCCCTCAAGTTCGGAAATTTTACAACACTGTATACACTTAGATCTATGTTTCCCTCATGTTAGGAAATTTAATGACATCCTTTACGCTTGGATCCATGTTTCTCCCAAATTAGAAAATTTAATGACATCCTTTATATTTGGTTCCATGTTTCCCGTAAGTTAAGAATCTTAATGACATCCTTTATGCTTGGTTACACATATTGCATAAGTTGGAGGTAATAAAGGGCATCTTGAACTATTCAATTATTGGATATGACTTTTTTTTTTAGTGCAAGAACATTAGCAACATTCATTCTCTCCCAGGTGTTAAACATAAAGCTGTTTGTAGTGTTAGTACATAAGGAACACAAAGAATATTTACTCCCTAATAGTTGTTAGATATGAAGCTTTACTTACAGTAGAATAAGAACATTAAGAACATTTTTCTCCTCCACAGTTGTTAGACATGAAGGTGTTTGTAGATACTGACTCGGACGAGCGGCTGGTGCGGAGACTGCGGAGGGACATTGCAGAGAGAGGGAGAGAGCTAGACGGAGTGCTCAAGCAGTACTTCAAGTTTGTCAAGCCAGCCTTCGACTATTACATAGCCCCATCTATGGTAAGTGATGTCTCTTGGAGAGTTTGGTGAAAAACATTTCGGATTGAAAAAGTCAGAATGCCAGGGGGGTAGTTTTGGTTTTGATAATATGAATATATCGGTTTCATCAGGATTTACCTCAGATGGTTTAGAAAGCTTCAGTACAGAATGCGGCATGTGAAGTTTTTCTTTCTCATCTCTACTTATTTCAACAATTTTCATGTTGAACTTTGTTTGTCTTGGTCTCTTGTAAAGAGAGAATTACTGACAAGTAATTGAACCAGTTTTTAGAAGGACAATAGCAGCAGTTTTATGTTTGAGTTACTCTTGAAATGTGGTCTACTTTGCTCTTGAAATGAAGAAAAACATATGAAATCAAAGAAGCAAAAGCAAAATAAAAGAGAAAAGAAAAACAGAAGTGAAAAAGAAGTTAGATCAATAAATTTCAATTATAGAGAATCTAATAATAAAGTACAAGTGGATTTGATCAACATTTTGTGTGAAAAGCGAGTACACGAGAGATAACGTTTCCCTCTTGATTGGCGACAGGTCCACGCTGACATCATCGTTCCGAGAGGTGGGGATAACGAGGTGGCCATCAATCTTATTGCTCAGAATGTCATGACGCAGTTGCAACAGGTCAGTGGCCAGAGTTTTTTCTTTCAGCAATAATTTTCCTTTCTAACGATACCTCACTGATATAAATCCGTCTATGTAGATTAGAGTTTGAATGTGGGGCAAGTTTTTTCATAGATAATGAATTTGGGATGTGTCTAGTATTAGTGAAATGATAGCAATGTGTTGTAAACAGAAAGCCGCCTAATATCAGTATCACATAAAATTGATTCTGCTGATATAGATTATGGAAAAGAAGTGTAAGACATTCAAGTAATTTATTTAGAGATATGTAATAGTAGTGTATAAAAAAAAAAAATCCTTAGATAAATTAAAAAGTAGAAGAAGAAAATAACAGAACAGTGAAGTGCAATTCGGGAATTACCATTAAAGAATATGAGGTTTTCGTGAAGGAAATGAACAAGAACACATGTTTTCCACCCATCTACAGAGAGGTTTTAAACTCCGAGAGAAATTAGCGCACGCTAACTTTGGCATTGTGAGACCCAATTCCCTCCACCTGCTGCCCTCCACGCCCCAGATCCGCGGACTACACACATTCATCCGCAACAAGGACACTCCCCGCGACGAGTTCATCTTCTACTCCAAGAGACTAATACGACTGGTGATTGAGCATGCCCTGGCGCTGTTGCCGTTCACGGTGAGGACCTTAACTGAGCTTGGTCTACTTTTTTCTCTCTTTTTGTTGATGCTTGCAGCTACTTGTTTATACATGATTCAGAATAAAGAGAGGATTCAGTCTAGTTTACAAGTTATAAAATTTCCTTATATCCTGATCAGAGATGGATAAACTAGACCAGCTTTCATTGGCATTTCCATCACAGTGAACATTTTCTGCCCCCAAGCCATGAGACCTAAGTATCCTTGTACCTCTTTAAGCAGGACGTGACCGTAGAGACGCCCCAGGGCATCCCATATGAAGGGAAGCGCATTGCGACCGAGAAGATCTGTGGTGTGTCCATCCTGCGAGCGGGAGAGACCATGGAGAATGCACTCTGTGAGGTTCTCAAGGATGTACGCATTGGCAAGATCCTCATTCAGACCAACCTTGATACGGGGGAGCCTGAGGTGTGTGTTTTTCTTGTTGTTTTCCTCTTTTTGTGTTATTGATATTTTTGTAAATAACACTTGTGACAAAATTATCAGTTTCTGATATGTGTGCTGAAAGGAGTGGCTCTGTAATAGTGAGGGACTTAGTTTGGAAAGTTGTTATTTATAAGATTTGATTTGTTTTATCACATTTACATCAGTTTTATTATTTTTAGTGCCTTTATGACATTATTATTAATTAGGTCTCCATCATTGTTTCTAGCTATATTACTTGAGACTGCCAAAGGACATCAAGGACTACCACATCTTCCTGATGGACGCCACAGTGGCCACGGGTGCGGCTGCGATCATGGCCATCCGGGTCCTGCTCGACCATGAAGTGCCGGAGGACCATATCTCCCTCTGCTCCCTCCTCATGACTGAGCAAGGTGAGCACTTTTGATCTTTGTTGAAGGGCTTTATGTCACATTTTTGTTTCCTTTGATGTGTTTGAGGATTTGTGATGCAGTAAATATTGAAAATTATTGACATTAATTTTATTAATTTTTTTCACCAGGTGTTCATAACATAGCATATGCATTCCCAAAAGTACGCATTGTAACAACGGCAGTGGATCCATGTGTTAATGAGAAGTTCTACATAGTGCCCGGCATTGGAAACTTTGGCGACAGATACTTCGGAACGGAACCATCTGACCAATAATGGAAATGAATGAGGATCAAATGAGCGAGCGATATTTCCCACATGCCTATAACAATACCCAATGGCCTCCATCCAAACACAGGTGTTCCTGGAAATACAATGTACATCTTCCAGACTTGTAGACTATTTTAAAAACTCGTCAAGTGCCTGATATTGTTGTTGATACTTAAAACTTATAATAAAAGAGGCAATTTATGTGTGTGGTATGTGTTATAAAGGAAAAGGAAAGTGCTTTATCACTGTCACCAGTCTTTTTTTGGAAAAATTGTACAGCACATGAAGAACCACGTTTGCAGATATTAAGTGCATTTGCTAACTAGCCCATCAGGTTCTTTAAGCAAAACAAAAATAACCAAGAATTTTTTTAATCAGGTAATATAATATAATGCAACTTTTGATGCAAAAGTTGGTATTCACAAGACGAGCGTTGTACTAGCCACAACTTTGCTTGATGACGACTGGATGTGCTGAGCACATCGGAGTTTTAAAGATTGTTGTTCAATTTCATATATTTATCTCTTATTTTTTTTTAGTTGTTTTTAGTAGGGAAAATAGAGAGAGCATTTTTGTATCTCTTTGTTATAAGACTATTTTACATTTTAATGCTCAGTAAAAAAGCGATAATATATGAATAAGACTTAGATTGAAAATATGATTATTTGGTATTTTGTTTGTCCTTAGTGAATGAATATGATAAGGATATGTTTTTAATAAAAGAGTTGTTGATTGTGCAGAGGACTAAGTGTTTATAATATGTGGTTTTAGGCTGCTTGTATAAATCTTTCATGCAAGTCACCGAGTATCATTACTTCATGAAGGTTTGTAGGAAAATTATAAAATTTTAAAAATCACTTCCAGCCCAAGAATTCAAAATGAAAAAAAAAAAAAAAAAAAAAAAAAAAGTAGATTAATACCTAAAGAGAAATGTTTTAGCACTGTTGAAGTAACCACTATTGTTTTACATTCTAATTTGTATCTGTCTTGTAATTTATGCATTGTGGCATATATCCATTGAGTGGATGCCTGTATATTTTATTTATTTTTTGTCTAGTCCTCCCTTTGATTGTCATTGTGACGGCAGTATTAGTAGTGAATTAAGTTGATTTTTTTTTTTTCTTCTTTTTTAAAATCATTTTTTCAAAACTTTTTTTTTTCCCCCCCTACCATGATTTCATTTTATTGTTAGGCAGGTATTTGCCTCTTTTAAGGGTGATCGGCTCCTGTCCGGATCTGTCCCCTCGGCAAGAATTTAGACTATACTTTGTCATTTGCAATTCTGAGGTGCCATTTCAGCGAATTAAATCCGAGCGAGCATAGGGTCGAGGTAGCGGCATATTTAGGAATTTGGTACTAGATCTTGGTCGGTATTGATTTAGACACTTTCATACCCTATAAATACTTTTATAGTTATTAAAGGAAAGGTGAATTGAATAGTTTTCTTTTATCCTTTTTATAAATACTTTATTTATATAATTGGTAATAATGGGAAAAAAAAGACCATATAGACATAAAAAATTTCACAGCTTACAAGTTGTCTCTGTCAAGCTTACACTTACCACTGACAATTTTTTTTTATTACGTCCATAAAATCATTCGCACCAGTTTTACAAAAGAATGTCCATTGGAGAGAGAGAAATATAAAGCTCCCAATTTTTTTGCAATTTTTTTTTTTAATCTCTTATAATAAGGAACAATCTTAACAAAAATTTGTTGCTTGTGTTCACAGGCGCCTTTTCCGTCTGCTGTCGCCATCATCGTCTCCTGTTGAATGAAGAAAAATATTAATGTATTTATAGTATGTTAATTTTGCAATGAGACTGGGTATACTTAAGAAAATCATT